TTTTCATTAAATATTGTACAGATGAGGTTAATATTTAGAAAATTAAATAATCAAATACAAAAAAAAAACGAAATAAGAACTGCACAAGAGATAGGACACTTAAGCAAAGCCAAGGCGAATGGAAAAGCTGACTGACCAGTGTAGAAACATAGCCAATGAGCCAATTCCTTGTCCTTGAAAACTAATTCAGCGCCAAACTAAAACACCTCCTTCTTCTTTGTACATTCGCTTTACTGAGAAGGTATTTATAAGTTAAATACATTTAAACATGAAAAACTTCTAATGAATGTTTCAAGACATACTTTTCTTACTATGCAACATTTATTTATATTTGTACGCGCATTTAAACTGCAATTAATTCCAAAATAGCGAAGAACTACTTTTCAAAGGCGGAGTATTACATTTCCTACCTTTCTCTCCAGTGCCAACTTAAGGTGGAACTCGTGATTAAGGACGCAAATAAAAAAAACATCTTACCTTTATACAATAAATAATGTCATAATTTTCCTCGTATTCAATAAATAAGTTTCGATGAATTTTTCTTATTACAATGTAATGGAATGAAACTTAATTTCTTATTTCCACGCTTTTAAAATAGCTTTGAAATCCATACTTTATACAATAAATAATGCCATAATTTTCATCGTATTCAATAAATAAGTTTCGATGAATTTTTCTTATTACGATGGAATGGAATGAAAAGTAATTTCTTATTTCCAAGCGTTTTAAATAGCTTTGAAATCGTAGAGCTGGAATAAGCTTTAATTATCACAAGTTTTCATCAAACTATTTGTAAAAAATGCAAAGTTTCTGTGCTGCCAGCTGAAAAATTAGCAAAAGACAGGACTAACGTTTAATGTGCTTAAGAGCAAGCTTATTGAAACCTAAAACCCACAGTATTTGGATATGCTTTAATTTCTAGGTACACGAAGAATTTAATTACAATTAGACTAATTACGTACTTAATGTTTTTATTAACTCTAAGCATTTAGAATAAATAAGATAATAAATAAATGAGGGTGTTTTTTTTATCGCTTTTATATTTTTGTAGTAATCTGCAATTTATTTATTGATATAAATAAATTATTCCACAACATCAAATAACAATCAAGAATTGTAGCTAAATACTACATTTAAATCTAAAAAAAACTTTTAGCGAGAAAAAAGTTTAACAGCTGACTTTGCTTTCTTATTCTCATGGTGACTGAGAAATTAAATGATGTAATTTTCAAAATGAAGAATATAGAATAGGAATTTTTATAATAATTTTGTTTATAAAATTCTCAAAAAACTATTGAATTTTACTGCTTTGTAAAAATCCAAGCTGCGGATTTTTCGAATAGAAAACAAAATTTGAACACAATGGAATGCATAGAATTTTCTTATTACAAGCTGTGATAATTTTCTTTTCTTCAACAGTCAATGACTTTTTGACCAAGCAAAGTGAAAACAAAAAAGGTACATAAAAGAAGAATATGCACATATTTAAATAAAAGCATTAATATTTTCGAGAAAAACCTCATAGAAATAAATGCCATTTGCTTCACGAATGAAGTAATTGTATTCTCAGAGTATGTTAAGCCTACTTACGAATGCGATGCATTTTTCATACAATGGATGCAAGATATTGCTTACAAGATTAGAATTTTTATTGTGAAAATGGATACAACGTTTTAGGAAAACTACACACTTTATACTAGTGTTTCATTTACAGTAATAATGAAAACGTTTGGTTATAATAGTTTAACCAGCTGGTTAGCTTTATTTGCCTGTTCAGTGGTAGTCTTCTTCATGTCAATGCCAATGCGATTGTCTGGATTATTTTTTGTGATTCTTTTGGATGGTTACAATACAGACAGAAAGAAGGCGTCAGTACCTATAGTTATTTTCGGCGTATTAAGGACGTTAACAGGTAAGCTAAGCATTTAATCTCTTTTCTATAATTAGTCTTCCATAGTATGTTTCAGAACTGGGTTTATTTCATATACAGTGCACAGTACGTAAAAATAAATAAATAAACTCACCACCACATACGGAAATAATAAAATAAACAGATCATAACTTTTGATCTAATGATCGGATTTTCACATTATAGGTCTCAATTGTAATGGTTCGAACCTCAAATATGCTAATTAATTAGTGAGGAAGATATTTTAAGTTACCGTATCAGTGGCAAAACGTTCTTTCTCTGAATAAACATACCGTGTTATTTTTTTTTGGCGGATTTTGATTTTTGACCTACAAAATATAGGGGGTAGACGCAGTTAGGAATCACTAGGAAATAGCTGGGAAATATTGTCCCAATAGTTTATAAGCATTGTTTTAATTCCTTAATTACAGTTTCACTTTATGTATATTTCACCATGTCTCTAAAGCGAATTGAAAAATGTTTGCATACAATTATAAAATTCGTTGAACCAAAGAAAATTCCATGCGAAATATATTTTTTAGTAAATATTCATTATTTTTTATTATTTAATTTAATAATAATCGAAAGACTTTTAATTTGTAAAGCATATAATTTTTACATCAATTTAAAAAATGCAATTTTAAATGGCAAAACTCAAAATTTGAGTGAAATCGGGCAAATCGTTCCTAAGAAATCGAATTTTGAAAAAGTCGTAATTTTTAGATTGAATCTTAGAAAGTGACGATCTGATCATTGAAATCAAAAGTTATTCAGGGTGATCATTTTTTATTTTTTTGCGTACTGTGCAACAAAAGTACATAGAATTTTTTGGTAATTTCAAAATAATAAAGATTTTCAAAATAATAAAGATATTTTATTGTAAGTGTATTAAATAGATACAAACGGATTCGAAGTATTAGAAAAACAATAGCTAAAAAATAAAAATTTTAATTCCCACAAAACTTTCGACATGGTAGATAAATGTTTTTTTTAAAAAACTAACGCCAAGTTAGAAGGTAGCATTTACAGCTGCCATCGTGAGTTCTTGGGGATACTTTTTAATTTTATTTAGCATGCACAGGTCAAAGCAGTTCACGCCTCATGGAATTTTGAAAATTTGAAAGTTAAAATTTGAAAATAACTTTATTTTGCTATTTTAAGAAATAAATTGCTCAAATTGTAGAGTTTTTTTTATTGTGGTAAGAATTTCAAACCACAATTACACTAAAAAACATTTGGGAAGACAAATTTGAGAGAGAAAATTCAAAAAAAGAATTCCACACCAAAAATGTTCAACGAATCATTAAACATGAAATGGGTCAGATTGATTCAAGAGGTCTGAATTTTGTAGATGAATTAATGAAACCAGATGCATTAAAAATTGCAAATTGGCCTGAATTCCTTATATACCCCAAAGACAAGCATGAGTAGAGTGTGTCAAAATAAAAGAAGATGCACCCTAAATACTGTACTGAATTGAAATATTATCACGTACCAGGACTCAATCTCAAGGGCTTGAAGTCAAATATGCTATTTTATTAGTGCGGACGATATTTTAAGTTACGAAATCAAACACAAAAACGAACTTTCTCTGAAAAGACATACTTTCTTTTCAGGCTTTAAACCCTCAAAATATGACCCACAAAATGAAATATTAGACCCTCAAATCTCTTTAAATTAAAATCAAGAATTCTATTCAAGCTCTTATTATAAAGATATGAAGAAATTTCAACTGTCATTTAATACAAATGAATGAAAAATTATGTTGAATCTAAAGATAATTATTTCAATGAAGTGAAAAATTATATTTTTAGGGCCTTTTGTAGCAGTTTTAGGAGAAAAATTTGGTTTCCGAGCTGTTACTCTAACGGGATGTATTTTTGGTGCCGTAGGAATTGGGAGTTGCTATTTTGCTGAGGATATTAACACAGCTACAATTTGCATTGGTTTAGTTTACGGTACGTTCTATCTCAAATAATTATTATTGATTCCAACTTTTACTCTGTTTTTTAGCCAATAAACAGGTATTTAAGGATTAAAATAAATTTAACAAACTGAATTCTCAAAAAAAGTTAGACAATAATATGCAAACTCGATTCAAATTCTATCAGATTATAGTGAATTTTCAGCATATTACTCAATTGAAATCATGCAAGTGACGTCATCATAGTTAAATCGTAACATTTGTCCATTCAGAAGCCAATCAGGTATGACACACACGTGTTATCATCGCTTGATGTTATCCAATTAAATTTGATTTAAATCACATGGTTAGGCATAATCACTTCCCTTGTTGAGCTACAAGTACCCAATTTTCAACTAACCTGCAACTTATACTTATGAGGTAATCGTGACCAAACGCAAAATGCAAAACATTATTCTATAATTTGACAATGATAACTGTGATGTAAACTAATTTACATCACAGTTATCTTTAAAATATTTGACAAAACTCTCTCTGATCTTGGATCCTCTAAAGTTTAATTTAAAACATTAACTTCCCCTAAGCCCATGAGTAAATTTCATTTTTTAAATGTCTCTGAATTAAAAATCTAATTAAAAAAATCGAAAATAATTTTTTTAAAAAAATCGAAAATTGGGCTTCGTAATTTTTTTATACCCGTAACTCGGTATAAAGATACACGAACACAAATTTTTTACTTTATTTTGTGTATAGATTTCACGATGATTGCAGCATATGTTGGTTGTTTATTTACAAATCTAAAAATAATATTAACAAAATAGTTAAAAAATCTTTTAAATTTCTACAAATAATTTTATACAGTATAAGTTTAAAAATACTTTTCCGTTGGTGCGACAAAAAAATAATTTTTTAAAATTCGAAGTCATAGGGTTAAACGAAAAGAAAGATGAAAAATAATAACAATGCTTTTTTTTCATATTTACACTGTTAAACATTTTGGTGTATATTTGCTACCATTTTTAGTGTTGAGGAAAACTAAAATTTTTTACAGTTTAATCACATTTTTATTTACTTTTTATACTGCTATAGTTATTTTTATTTATTTATTCATTTTGTTTGTTTACTGACAACATATATTTTCATGCGCCTGAGAATCAATTTAATAGCTTCATTGCTAAAACATTCTGTTTAAAAATATTTGAGTATTATATTCGCACTAAGTCCCTTAAACAATTATTATTTTGCTAATTTCATCTAATTTTGTATGATAACAACAGTTCTGTACTTAAAAATGTGTTTAGTTTATCCGAACACCAAAAATTATGCCAACAATACACCAGAATTTTTTTACGGAGTAAGATGATGATCTTAATTTAAAAAAATAATTATTTCAGGTATAGGACTAGCGTTATCTGCCACTTTGGTGCCAACAATTTTGAAACTGCATTTTACGGAGAACATAAATCTTGTGAATGGTGTATGGTTAGCTGGAACGTGTGCAGGTTCGATAATCATGTCTCCGGTAATGACGTATTTACAAAATGCTTACGGCACGAACGGAATGTTCTTGATTGTGGGTGGAATTTTTTTAAACTGCATACCTGCTGCAATCCTCTTAAAGCATCCCCATAACGATAGACAAAAATGTAAAACTGAAAAGAAGAATGTTGCAGATAATCCAACTACGTATCATCAAAATCTTGCATTTGTAGCAGACGAAGAAAATCAGGAGAAAAACGATAGCATTTTGAAAAATTCAGAAGAAAATTCCTTTCCCTGGCAAGAGGAAAGTACAGAAAATGAAAGAGAAGACATAGTTAGGGTTAAGTGCGCACAAAAACTAAGAGCAGTTGAAAATCAAAACAAGGTAATCCCTGATTATGTTTCATTTGGATCTGATCAAACAGATAAAATTCATTACGTTCTACAAAAGATAGGAAAGAATGGAACGATTTTTTTAATTACTCCTGTTACTCAACCCATGCAACATACCGTAAAGAAACCTTCCGATAAAAAAGATTCAACTGAAAAGGATTTTTCGTCCGTAAAGAAAAATTCAAACAATGTTTCTGAACCAGTGGAGCCCATGACAGGGACAACAACCAATCACACTATATCTTGGAAATCCTTCAGAGTATTTGCTGATCCCACATACTTTTCTATAATGCTTGTACAAAGTATGACCACGTTCATATCTACCCTAAATTGGACTATCTTAGTTGATTATGGAAGAGATAAAGGTATGTCGACTGAAGTGTCTGTGTACTTTGTCATGTTTCTTCCGGTTGCTGAAATAATTGGAAATTTGGGTTTAAACTGGGTTACAGACTGCCATTTTATGACTAGAACGAATTTTAGTCTGCTTTGCTTTTTAATATTGTTATTAGATTCGGGTTACATTATGTGGGCTTATAATTTTGTACTGATGATGANAACATCTATTCTATGGATTACTTTGTGTGCTAAAAACTCCCATTATAGGTAAGTTAATAGTTTTATTCTGTTTCATACACATGCGTGGATTGGTTATTAAAATTCGATGTATTTGACTAGATATATACTGTATAGACACAAACGCTACTTGAAATCGTGAGAAATTGCATTAAATACAAAACGTTGTATTCTAGATACATTTATTATATGTTAAAATAAATAGGTTAGCTAAAAATGCGATTTTTCATTCGAAATTTTTTTTAATTAGACTGCAAATCGTATTTCTTCTAAAATGATATCGCAATCCAACAAGAATAAAGTAACATCAATAGGCTAATCCTTCATTTAAAATAACATTTTTGCTAGGAGTAATAATAGATCAAACTTATAATGGCACAAAGCAGTTCACACAGCTATTTAATTTTAACAAATTTTAAAATATGCTATTTCGAATTTTTGTAGGTAGTTATTTATAGGTAATCAAATTTTATACTTCAGTGCAAGAAATATTTATTCGTTTAAAACTATTGTTAGACTGATGGCAAAAAATGTCGAAACTGTGCTAATTACATTATACTGGTGAACAAAAGTTAACATGGAAAATTATATTTAATTATTTACAGTGAGCAGTGGTGGTTCATTAAATAGAGCACTCGCCTCCCAATGAGGTTTTAAAATTCTTCTACCCCTGCACGATTAATCTTAAAACGTGGCAAAATCATTATTCTTTGTCATTTTTTTAAACTAAATTAATGGGAAAATATTTGTAAGAAATTTTTAACTGTAGTTAAATAATAGATCCATTATTTTAAAAATTCTTAAAAAAAAGTGCGAACTCTTTTTATTAGATGTCATACTTTAATAATACAGAAAGGAATACACATTTTAAGCACCCACTTCATTACACAATGACAAATTATTAGCCACTTGCTTAAAAACGTCACCTATCTTAAATTTGTGCTTATAAACAAAAATTCCAAGCACTCCTTCTTTTTCAATTCTTTAAGTTTAAATAATTAAATAAATAAAAAAATGATATTCGTAAGAAATAAGCACGTTTTTGAGAAGAGCTCTATATTCAACTATTGAATCATAAAATCTGCCAAATTAATATATATTTAAATAAAGATTTAAATCACTTGATAGATTAGAAGAACCGTGGGATCTCTTGCCGCTGTGCTATATCAAACAAGCGGAAAACACTTTGTATTAAAAATTTTAAATTTTATATTGCATCAACCAGGGCTCGAAAAACCAACCGTCCGCCTGTCCTCTGCGGTCAAAAAATCCCTGCGGACAACGAATTTCTCGAATCCGACGTCCGCGGGGTCGACCATTTTCCAGTTAATGTTCGTGATCCATTTTCAATTTTTGTTATTAGAATTGATGTTTTCTCTGTCTGGGAGTACTACAGCGGTTGAAAGGGGCTTTTCAGCAATGAACTTACAAAAGAACACATTACGTATTGGTCTTAAACGCAATTATGAACATCTACCTAAATGGAAAACCTCTGTAAATCACTGACTTGATTGTGGAACTGGCAAACGTCATATTTGATTCATTTAAAAAACGCAGTACCCTCGGATAAATTGACATTCCAGATAACTTAACCTTTGTCATTTAAATTATTTAATAAAAGAAATATATTATTTCATAAAAGAAGTACTAGGTTACTATTAGTAACCTAGTATTTATTTCTTTTATTACTGTATAATGTAATCCTAGTAACTACTTATTCATTTTGCAATTTATATAAATGTTTGTAATAAATAAGAGAAAATTATATTTTTATTTATTTAGAAGCTACTGGATTAGTTTCAAAGGAGGACGGGTACATTATTGGACAAGCCGTCCTCGGGGACGGGTAAAATTTCTGAGTTTTTTCGAGCCCTGTTAAATTTAATATTTTACACTTAAACTGGAATAAGAAAATTTAATTAGTCCAATAATTGAAAAAGCTATGCCTATAATTGAAAAAGCTATGTGCACATAAACATTAGCACGTGCATTGCCTACAATTGCATACTTGCAAGGAACGTCACGCACGGGTCAGCCAAATAGGTTTGATACACACGCGTGACGTCGTTTATAGGAAATAAGCTTGGTTATTAATAGGAGATGTCAACTTCGATTGGTAGTCACTACTGGACTTGGCAGATATGTCACTCTACATAGTTGCATAACTTCATTTTCCTACGGCCAAAAAAAAAAAAAATTCATTACCTCTTTATTTAATGTTACAAATTATCTAAAACCGCTGGCTGACGCATAATACTTCCAAAATAGGAAGAGAATGTAAGGACATTTGAAACTTCTAATTAAGCTTTAGCTTTCTTTGTCCTAGAAATTATTACACTCTATCCATTAAAATTCAAGGCATTTTTCACACCTTAATTTTTGTTGATCAGCGTTTTTGACCTGTGCATATTTTTTTTAAACTGTGGCTATCTAGTGGATTTACTACTTGAATGTTGTTTGGAGACATTTAGCTGAAGAAAAGTTCGAGCAAGGTGATAAAAAAAGATAAAAATTTAGAAATAATTTATTATTATTAATGAAAAAGGTTGATGAGAAGATACTTGATGGTGCTTTAAATTATATTACACTCCAAATATCAAAACATATATTTGATTACGCATTATATGTTTTATTATTTTCATTTTTAGGATTCTTTCGAGGAACTTTGGGATCATATAATTGGGTATACTGCATCATAATGGCCTGTAATTTGACTTGCTGTATACTTGTAAAGTTAACACCAGTTCTGGCATCATACAGAAGTAGAACGAGACAGTCAAAGGAAAGAACATGAGAATAAGAAATGAGAAGAACTCACCAATGTGATAAAAAGATTAATCTGACGCTGTGCGGAAGAATACATTGAATCAAGTCAAAGAATCAAGTCAAGTCAAAGTAACCATATGACAGAATCGAAGAGATGTGATGTCTGGAAAGAAAAAAATTATTATAACAATCATCAATTATCATCAGAAATATAAATAACTTTCATTTTAATAGTTATTAAATCACAATTTTAGAGATATTAGAAAATATCACAATATTAGAGAGAGTTTGCTTAGCATTTTTCTTAGGTTAACCATAACGATAACTTTGTTTTCTACCCATTTGGAACACAGTGATTTCAGTTCAAATAGCGTTAACGTAAGGGTTAGGGGGATTAACCTTTTGCAAAATATCTCCATCAGTCATCCACAAGCAACATTCACAATTCAAAATTGTGCTTGCTTATGGTTATAAATGCATTTATCCTAATAGAATATTTTTTACAAAATGACACTTTAATGGCCTTAAAATAGCGTTTTTATTTTACTTTTTGTTATTTAGTTTTTTAAAATGTAAAAAAAAAATATAAAACGATACAATAAAAATTAATAGATTTATGAATTCTTAAAGATATATCATTAAAAAAAATTTAAAATTTTATAGGCTGTGAATCAGAGATTGCCAACCAACATCTATTAGAAAGCCAATGCACCTTTCGGTCAACCTGGCATCCCCAAAACCCATATTGTGGCAGGACAGTTTTTTTAACACAAACAAGCAGAGTAATTGAAAAAATAATGTCACTTTCCAGAATTTTGCTACAAAACATAGAAACACTATTACTTAAATTTAACTGAATTTTGGAAGTTCGAACCAACAAATAATTTTCCAAATTTCATTCACAGTTTGGCAGAGAAATATTGTTGTAGGTTGAAATCCACACAGATGATTTTCATTATGAACAAAATAAAGTCAAAATGTAATTTAAGGTTAACTAATAGGTACATAAAGCATTTTTTTTTTTGGATCTTTAAGCTGTATATTGTGAAGTATATAGCATTGTGAAAAGAAGAGGTTTGATCCTAAATGGTGGCTTGAAGCCCATCCAGCTTAAGATTGATGGGTACCAGCCTCCCAGGATAAGCAAAGGGAGCATGTCGTATGCCCGAAATATGAATCATGAGAATCATGAACACTTGGAGCCTAAAACTCTATTAAACCCTCACACCAGCTGTTTAAAAAACCTAATAATTGAGATAATGTTTAATAATTATTTTTAATTAAATGTTTTAAGTTATTTATATTTATTTTAAACATAAGTGACGTAGCCTTCCAAATTTTTCTTGACAATAAAGTCTAAATTTATACTTCTGTTTCATTTATCATATTATTTTTGTTAAATAACTACTCAGACTTACATAAAAAACATGTGCTATTTGCTCTTAAATCCCATGATAAAACAATAAAAAAACCTTCTTTATCTTTTTATATATTTTCCCTATTATAATTTCCCCTGTTATAAATGGCAAATTAGACTGATTCAATATTTAACATACCTTGTGTTTTAACACTGAGTGGTCCTTTTTATTTACATATATTATTTAAATATAGATGGAACTGTCTTTTGTCTTATACCTTTCACGATTTTAAAATGTTTACTAGTAAATGTAATTTGAAAACAATGGAACTATTTAAATATTTTATGTACATATGAAATACGCTTTTTTTTACTCGACACCTGTGGTAAAAAAGCCGTGATTGAATTAGTACTTATTTTATTCTTTCAAATTTTAACACAACAAGCATTTATCTTATGCACGAATGAAGTGGCCTTCAAAAGCATATAAAAGCAAAATATGTGCATATGTAATTTTTAAAAAAATGGCAGCGAATTTCCCTGTATAACGTAAAAATATTATTTGCTTCATGAAAACATTGATAGTAGTTTGCACAGCGTTAGTATTTGAGGCTTGGAAGACATTTGTGTACAAGCATATTTAAGGTTAGAGTGTTTTGTTTTGTAAAGATTGGTTTACTTTCCATGAATTATCGACTATATGCATCAGCGGTGTAAAAAATACAATAGCGGAAACAACCGGCTATAATTATTTTACCAGCTTTAACAACCATTCCAATTATAGCAATTCTCAAATACACGCTGTATTGCAGTGTTTCCCAAACTTATGACTTTTGTGTACCCTTTCTAAATTTTTCGTAAAGCTGTGTACCACTAATAAAAATATGAATGCATTTTTTACTATTAAAAAATTGCAAAAAACTTAAAAATCACAATTGCTTGTTCACACCACTAATTATATTACATTAACTGTTAACTTTGCAAAAAATAGCCAATCGAAAAATACGTNTTCGCTCTCCATAAAACACGATATTTAATAGACATTTGAGAAAGAAATTATAAAATGCAACTTTATTTTAAAACTCGCGGCTAACAAAGCGGCATTATTTTAAAACTCGGAAATGACTTATGGAGAAAAAATAATGATTTCAGAATGAAAATATGTAAAATTAGTTTTTTAAGTGTAAGTTGTAAAATTAAAATCGTAGCCAAGTTTTCCGCTTTTAAACAGGACCCTCTATGAAAAAAAAATGCAGTTCAATACTGTTAGAATTTTTATCTAAAATTCTGGTAAAATAACCAGCAGCAGTTTGTCCATCCTAGTAACGTTAAAGAACTTTTCTTGCCTATACGGTTTTGAAACCGTTTATCTAGTATAGTTAAAAAACCGTGAGGAAAAAACTACATTGTTTTTCAATCTTTTACTACTAGCATGTCTTCAAAACCGTAATTTAACTGGGCATTGGAAATAGTTTATAGCAGTTTTATGGTGCTGCCATCTATGCGGGAATGAGTGTATCGTATTTTGATAATCCATGGGCAAAATTTGGGGAGTGCAGAACACTGGAAACTCTTCACATGTTGAAGTGAATGAGGGTAATATTGTGGTAATAACGCTGAGCCTCAACCCCCGTTCTGAGATCGAGAGATTATTCTTCGTGGCTATGATATGCACCCATCTACAAGGAACTAAAAGTGGCTTCATTAGTTGGTGCGATAAAATTCTAGCTATTGTTTAACCATGTTTGGTGAAAGCAGTTATTAAAACGTTTTTCTTACAATTAGCATTTTGAATACCATATTATTTATGGTTGATTTTTTTTTATATGTTTTAGTTGAATATGAATTCTTTTCGGAGAAATTTCTAACAGTGAAGCTGTATGACATTATTTTGAGGACTGACACTCGTAGCCTTAAAATATAATTCACTCCTAAATATATAAGGTCTTAAATAGTTACATGCCTTATTTACTTACCTTAAGGCCATATTGTTAGACCTACCTAATGGCATATATAGTTAGGCCTTGAGGTATTTGCCGCGCATAAAATTTGTCAATTAATAAAATTTGTCAAATTATTAATTATGGTATCCTTTGTAACATAAAAAATTACAAAAATTATTTTATTTTTGCCATAATTAAACCACACCATTATTCGAAAGACTTTTAATGGCGATTATCGTCGGTGATAAAAAATATTACAAAATTAATGTGCCCCACGGATCTTTTTTTGTGTCTGGCGAAATATTTTGCGTCGTTTTATGTTTTAAAGTGTTCGAAATTTCGATTAGCTATAAATTTTGCTGGCATAGTTCACAAATTGATTTATCATCATCTACAGAGCTCCAGTTGCAATTTGAGCACTCTAACTAATTGGAAGGTCAAAATAATGAGTGGCTATAAATTCAATTTGATTACATAAATTATGTCTGTAAAAGTTAAATTGACAATTGAAAAGTTAATTGAAAAGTTAATTGAAAAGTTAATTGAATTAAGCTTTGTTGGATGGTAAGGCTAAAAACTAGCCTTACCATCCAACAAAGTACACTTTTCAACACCTTAAATAATTGGAAAGTGGTCGAAACTTTTAATTGTGATATTATATCTTATCGATAATAATAACTGATATCCATGTAGGCGACAAATTGGAAAGGCCATCACTAACATACGGTTCCTATAAGCGATAAATCAGGGCTAAAGAGAATAGAAGGGCTAGTTCACTCCGCTCTTAGAGCTGAAGCTACGATCGCTCTTAACCTAAAAGATAAAAAGAAACATTCATTTTTATTAAATGGATGTCCAATATATATTTTTTTTATTAATAAAAGTAGAGAGAACGAAACAAACGTTAAAGTTTATATCGGCGGTAAATTGATAATGACTTTAANATTTTAGACTTTATTAGTGAAAAAATTAAACTTAAAATTTAAATACTAAAATAAAGGTGAAAAAATCGAAATGATCATTCCTTCAAACATTTTAACTTGCTCGATTCTACTTTTCACATAACAGAAAGAAAAAAAAAATCCTTAGACTGTAAGTAAGTTTTGCTCCCGCGTGTGTTAGAAGGTTATAGGTTTCAAAATAAAATTAGGGTGCGTAAATAGACGGGAACATTTCCCTGTCTTTTTCGTCATGGCTTTCATTCGATGGTTAATGGTTCATTCTTTCTTATCATGGCTGTTATGACCCTATGCTTCACAACTGTTATGATAAACTCAATTCAATGCACAGCGCAAATGGAACCTCAACTGTTTTAGGTTTGATGTTTATGACCTCATAAGTAAGGCGATCTCCGAAGCAAGGAAAGAGGTTCAACAATCCCATTACGTAACGAGCTTTGCTTCTGTATTTATAAATATGAGAAAAAACCTCTTCGCATGCTTCATAACCGTTTTTTGTGTACATTTTGAGCAAAGTGGCTTTTAATATTCATGTTTCGGCTTTAAGCTCAATTTTAATTAAGTACTTTTTTTGGCTACCGCTATAGTGTAGCTAACGGTGATCCGTAAAAGTGGCAAAAAATCCATACCTTTTATTATCTAAGTAATCTGAAAACTGCATCGGTAATCTGCACATTACCTATAGTTTGTCTACTGTAAGAACTCCTCCAGTCATTAAGTCTGAAGCAGTCTGCTGCTATGGAAACAAGAATGGCTCATTTCAGGGCAGGGAGGGTAGCTTCTCTTCACTCTAAAGCTAGCACACTAGACCGAAGAAAAAGATTCCCTTTCTCTCACCTACCCGAGACCCCACACCCCTACTTGAAATAATACCTCGTTACCAAAGTCACAGCCACGGGTTCAGATGAATGGCTAAGGGAGTTCTTACTTTAGACAAACTATACTAGGGACTCGTTAAAAGTAAAAATAAGATCTTTGCTGTTACAATAGCAACGTTTCTGTACGCAGAGCCGGTTAAGCCAGATTAAAAGGGATTCATTAATGTTATCATAATTTTTTATTTCCTCTTTTTTTTTCTTTTTTTTTTTGCTAACATTATTTACTTAAAAATATATTTATAGTTTTTTATTTTTTAAAATATGTATTTTTAGATTAACTTCTTATATGGTTAAAGTTCAATGAGTAAAAGTTTTACTAAATATGAAAAGAACAGCAACAATAAAGTTACATTTTGACATTGAATAGAAAGAATTCCGCATTTTCCAAAGGATGAGCTGGGCTGTAAGTTTCACATAATAATCTAAAAGAGTAAATGACAGACAAAAAATAGAAGGTCATTTCGAGAATGACCACGTGAACACTTCAGTCATTCTTTTTAATTCAATTTGTAATGTATTGTTAATTTCATTATAACAGCGTAAGTTTTTTAAAAATAAACATCACTTTGGAGTTTAGGTATATCTAAGTATTTTTTTTGTATTACTTTCATTTATTTTTTAATAAAAATTAAGAAATAAATAAAAACATTAGGAATGACTTCTTTTAATGTTATGTCTGTTGTACATTTTACAATATTAAACGTATTATTGATTTTTGTACAAATAGGAAAGAATAATGGGAATTAATTTTCGAATAAAAAAAAACTGAGTGTGTTCAATTAAGTGTTAGATATGGGTCTTGGATATGCACTACTCGTGAACCTGTGTGTCAAAAGTATTCTTAATATAATATGAAATTGCTGATATAAATCTTAAATACTTAATGTTGAAAATACTCTCATTTCGTTTCAGATTCATACAAAATACGACGGAATTTTTGAAAAAAAAGAGGTTAATTAGAAATAAGACTGGAAGGTTAATTTTCAAGCTAATTGGTAAAGATTATATACTTACCAAGACCTTAATAAATTTCATATCAACAAATATAAACATGCATTCATTTTTACAATATTTCATACATTTTATTGCTTGATATATATATTGTTGGCCCCACCGTTATGTCAGGTGTCAAGTAGCTAGGGTGGGGGGAGTACGAAGTAAGAGACTGATAATTAAAACATATTTATAATTTATTTACAAAAACTGTATTTACAGACAATAAGTTGTTACTTCG